GGATCTTGGGCACGCACGCACACGCGCCGGGTGTGAGTTTTAAGCCACCGGGTCCAGGACGCAAACCGCGGTCGACTACGTGGGAGTCCAGCGACATAGCCATTACGCTAACTGCTGGTCCCACTTAGTTTTTTTTTTTTTGAGTATTTTTGCTATAGGGCATGGACCAGAAAGAGAGAAAGAGACAGAGAGACAGAAAGCAAGAAATCACTGCCAAGGGGGGATGGCCACGTTGTAATCCCTTCTCCATTCTCCTCTCGGGATCTTGGGCACACACGCACACATGCCTGGCATGAGTTTAAGCCTCCGGGTCTGGGACTCAAACTGCATTCGACTACATGGGAGTGCAGCAATGTAGCCGTTACACCAACTGCTGGTCTCCTCCCTTAGTTTTCTATTAGGAAAAGTTTGTATCCATTCGTTTTACTTTTGCTTTTTTATACTAGAGGGGGTGCTTGCCAGAGACAGGATGAGGAGCATGTACCCCATGGGGGATGACCACACCACTGTCCCTTCTCCATTTCCCCCTCCTGTTGGGATTCTTTGCACGCATGCGAGGTCTTTTTCGAGCTGCCGAGGCTGGGATTCAAACTGCAGTTGGGCACGTGGGAGTGGGCTCTTCTTTTTTGTTTCGGGGGAGCTGGCTCTTCCAGCCGCTGGGCGCCGTGGCCAGGCCTACGTCTGTCTTCAGTTGGGGACGCAGGACACTTGACTGTCGGTTAAGGCCAGCTTTCAGATCAGCTCCTGGAGCCAGTCATGGGCCTCAGGCGATGCACAGCCTGGCCAGACCCCACCCTGCTGTCCTGCCGCAGGTGGTGGGTTGGCAACGGCACGTCCACCCACACTGTCCGCTGGCCGTACCTGGGCCCGGGAAACAGCTGGCTCCCTCTGGGGAGCTCGGCGTTGCCTCCCAGTCCTCAGCGAGGCCACACGTGGGGAGACCAGCTTCCAGACGGGAGGGTCGGGGCCCCGGCACCCCGTGCGACCAGCGCCTCGTCCCCAGGTGGAGGAGAAGATCAAGCAGACCCACCGCAAGTACCTGCTGCAGGAGCAGCTGAAGATAATCAAGAAGGAGCTGGGGCTGGAGAAGGAGGACAAGGACGCCATCGAGGAGAAGTTCCGCGAGCGGCTGAAGGGACTGGTGGTCCCCAAGCACGTCATGGACGTGGTGGACGAGGAGCTGAGCAAGCTGGGGCTGCTGGACAACCACTCCTCGGAGTTCAAGTGAGCACGCCCATGCCGGCCGCCGGTCACGGTGCTCCCGGGAAGAACCCGCCTCCGTCACCGCAGACTGGTTCTGACAACAGAGGAAAGGGAGCTTGCTTTTTCTTCTGCCAGAGGGCACGTGTGATCAGCAGAGATGTGGGGAGAGACAGCCCCCTCTCCATTCTCTTGAGGTTTGGGGTGCGCATGCGCCTGTGTCCCACACATTTCACGAGCTGCCCAGGCCAGGCCTTGACCTGCAGTCAGCCATGTGGGAGCCAGCTCCCTTAACCACATGGCCAGCCCGTGGGGCATTTCTGGCAGGGTTTCTCTGAGTCGTAACCCTCCTGCCTGAGCCCCTCACTGAGCTAGGTCACGAACACCCAGTGTGGGTGGCTGGAAACAGGCCTCCATGGTGGCTGACCGCCCCTTGGTGCTGAGGCTCGTCTACCCTATTGGAGCTGAGCCGTTTACAGAGACCTCCGGGCCCAGGGAGGTTAGGGCACCCACCAGGGCCTTGAGCCCGTCAAGAGCCCAGGGACTGGCTCTGTGCCAGTGCTTCTGACTCGGCCGTCGCCCCAAGGCCACCCTGGCTGTCCTGGCCGCTGCCTCTCTGTTCTGAGGGTCACCCAGGAAGTGATGACATGACCGTATCTCTCTGTGGCCCTGGCCTTGCCCTGTCGGTTTCCCGTGGGCACAGCTCAGTCGGCTCTGCATTCCAGAGAGTGGGGTGCCCACGTCCAGCCTGCTGGACACCAGCTAGGATGGGGGCCCTTGCCATGTGCTGGCAGCCGGGTCCCCCGGGGCCAGGAAGCAAGCATTGTGCCCAGGTGGCTGCTGGGCAGGGGGAGGCCCTGGGGTCTGGAGAGCACGTGGGCAAGGCTGGCCAGGCCCTGAAGGCTCTTACAGGGAGGGTCCATCCAGCAGCCCTGGATTTCCGCCTTCTGGCTGCCGGGTCCGTCCTCTGCTGGCTCAGCACATCCGGGGCCGGGGGTGGTTCTGTGGCGAGATCTCACGTGGCCCTCTGTGCTTTGAATCCCAGCCCTATCTGCTTGGAAAACACCAGACACGGGGCGACCTGAGTCCCAATAGAGAGGGGCTTGCAGCGTGGCCGTGCTCCACTGGGGGCGCCCCCACTCTCGGTTCTCTGTCTCTGCTGAGCATGCGCACGCTCTGGCAGGATAAAAGCCGTGCGTGTGCAGGGGTCCCCGCGGGGATCCCAGGGAGGGTGGTTCCCCGGGGCCTCAGTCGAACTTCTGTGCCCATAGCCAGTCTCACTCAGCGTGGTGTTTGTGCAGGCTGTGGGGCAGGGGCCCTGCGGGCATGGTGAGGCAGGGCCGCACCCCGCTTCGGAGCCAGTAGTGCGGTGTCTTCAGGCTTCGTTCCCATCTCTGGGCCCTCACCTTTATTGCAGAGGCTGTTCGTGGGAGGGGCCAGCCACAGGGTCTGGGGACTAGGCAGCCATTGTGGGGCCATTCTGCCCCTTGGTTTTGAGGCCATTCTGCTGGGTCAGACATTGCCCGAGAGGTAACCCTGCCTCTGAGCCTGGCACGCCCTGTTCTCCAGAGGGCCCTGGCCACAGTGGCCTTCAAGGCCAGGGATGGCCCCTCACGGTCGCGACACCAGCTCGGGCTTGTCGGGCCGCTATCTGCGCTTTGCCAGGCGTCACCCCGCGGTGCTGGCGGCGGTGTCCCCACCAGCTCTGGGTAGAGCTCAGCCTGCTCTGTGGCATTGCCCACGCAGCCTACGTGTGAGGGGGACGAGAGGGTCTGGCCCTCCACTGTTGGGACAAGTGTCGGGCACCCCTTAAGCCCTCCCCACGCTGTGCGTGCTTCGCCTACCACAGGGTGCCCGGTGGACAACGGCGTGGTCTCGG